GTCGAAAATTCATGCAAGGACGGGGTCGGGTCACACAGGTGTAATGGGTCGAGAAGTGACCTGGGTTGGCTGACTTTCCCCTTCTCTTATTTCCCTTATTTCTCCCCCATGATTGGCCCGTCTCTCCATCTTTTCCTTCATTTCTCTCCTCATCTCTCAGTCCTAGTTATACACATGGCACCAAATCAGTGCTCTAGCAAATCTGGAGCCTTCCAGATAATGGCTAAATGACAATTTCACCCTTGTCTTTACTCGTTTATCTTTCATTCGTTATAGCATTGTTTGATGAACGGTTTTCGCCTACGCACTCGTGAGGTCGAGCTTTATCCAAATATGTAAATAAAAGTGACAAAACATATAGGAATTAAATACGTCCTTGAAAAGTCCATTTAGTTCATTAAGGGCATTTTCGTCCTTTTACTTATAAACAAATATATGCCATAATTATAAACGTGTCGAAACTAAGAATACGAAATACGTAATTTTAAATAGTGAAATTCAAGGACGGGATTTCACATCCTTCCCCCTTATAAAAATTTAATCCTCGAAATTTCCATTGTCATCCCTACCTACTCAACACTTCGATAATTCCACTGAGAACGAAACACTAAATGGTGTTCACACTTCATTTATTCTCAGATTAAGCTAACCTCAAGTTTGATAGTTTCGAACTTCAATTCACCACACAAAAATAATCATAAACATAGCCATGTCATCAAAGACAATACCAATTCCACGAAACAATTATTAACGTTCACAGGTAAAGGTACTTAGATCTAATACCTAAACTCTAATACCACTAAAAGTTGTCACGCCCCGATCCTGACGTACGTCCAGGATCTACACGTGACGTCACCAAGTACTTATATATCAAACATACCTCGCCTCCGGGATATGGATAAAACAAAACTCAAGATTTGAATTGCGTAGTAATTTTTCATTTATTCTATGGCTACATCTAACCTTTTTGTTAAACTGCCTATGTACCCTCCGACCGGATCAAGCCATTCGTAGTTCACCATTTGTTAAACTTTGAACTTTTCGCAAAACACTTTCTAGCTGAAAACATAGAGTACCATACTACACATCAACCATAAGCCAAACAAGAGTTGTCGTCATGCATTTCACACACACACATGTGCTTTCCAACACCATTCAACAATCACATCAATCAATAACACATAGAATACACCAAAATGCAGGGCTAGAGCGACACAGTTCTGCTGAAGCCTAAATCTCTAAAGAATTTGATTTCTGACCACTCAACAAAATCCAACAACATCGAGTTCCGGACCACTCAATGAAACCAAAATACCAAGCGGGATTTCAGACCACTCAACAAAGTTCAAATCAGGATACAATTTCAGATCACTCAACAGAATCGCGAAGTAAAAAGGATTTCGGATCTCTCAACGGAACCTGAGTGGATACGATTCCGGACCACTTAATGGAATCGCAGTGTACAATGGATATTGAACCACTCAATGAAATCCAAGGCCGCAGGATACTATTCCAGACCACTCAACGACATCGCAAAGCACGAGGGATTCCAGACCACTCAACGTAATCCAAACGAAGCAAGGAACCAGACCACTTAATAGAACCCTAGCAAAACCCAATTCTAGACCACTCAACGGAACTGAGCGAAAGTCCAAGGAACATAACAACGACTCGAAGAAACAAAACATGAATCAAGTGCTCAATTTACAAAGGCTTAACAAGATGAAACAAAGTACAAGTACTAAATTTAGAATGGGTCAACGAAGCGAGAAATGAAATAATATTGAAACAAACAAACCCCCATGACACTGGGTTAATGGTCCACTACTGGCCCTCGCATTTTACAAACAATTCAACATTTATTTCAAATCACATTTCACAAATATTCCCAATACACAAAATCAAATCACATTTCATAATAATACATTGGTGGCTAAACATTAAAAATCACATTTATAAAACCAAGTCATATCCACAAAGAATACTAAATACGAAAATAGGGTAATAACCATCACATATATTAAAGTCACTCACTAACCATATCACAAATATTAGTTTTACAAACTTAAAAATTCAATTCATCCATATCCATACGTCAAATTCCTGATTCGTAAGTTTCTAATGTCCTTAAATATTATGTACAATAGCGCATTAAAGTTTGGTGAAGATCCAACGGTCGGATCGTTGATTCATATAATGATCAAGTGGCGTACCATAATGAAAATAGGTTCAAACAATCAAATCACATCAAGCGGATATCAAATCTGAAATCAAGACATCCAATTTAACTTAAAAAAGTCATCGTCAGCCCATTGGCCTCACGCCACTGTAGGTGGAGGTTTCTGGTGAACGGAAACGCAATTTTTCGACTAACTCTAAAAATTACCAAATTTCACAAGAAAATGGAGCTCAATGAGAGAAACGACTTTCATACCTGGGTTGAAGTCCAATTCAGCATGAAAATACTTGAAAATTGCCTCAATCCGTCGAAAACCCTAGAAATGGATGCTCTTAATTCAATGCCAAAATGAACTCCGACGCCCCAACCAATGCATGGGCTTTGGGGGAGTCTATTGGTGGTGGTGGTCGATGGAATTGGCTTCAGGAATGGCGGATCACCGCCATGGGACCCTATACGCCACCGACGCCGTTCTTTGCAAAACTAGAGCCAAAACTCATTAGATTTGAGTGTAAATGCAAGAAGAAGAGTCGTGGAGTTGATTCTAGGTGGTGGTTAGATGAATTTCGCCGAAAAAATTGACAATTTCACGTCGGAAATTCATGCAGGGACCTAGTCGGGTCATGCGGGTGTAACGGGTCGAGAAGTGACTTGGGTTGACTAGCCTTCCCCTTCTCTCCTTTCCCTCATTCATTTATATCTCATTCCAGATAATGGCCAAATGACCATTTCGCCCCAGTCTTTGTTCGTTTATATCTCATTCGTTATAGCTCCCTTTCGCGAACAGTTTCCGCCTACACACTCATGAGGTCGAGCTCTATCCAAATATGTAAATAAAAGTGACAAAACATATAGGAATTAGATACGTCCTCAAAAAGTCTGTTTAGTTCATTAAGGGTGTTTTTGTTCTTTTACTTATCGAAAAAAAAAACTATACACCGTAATTATAAACACGTTGAAACTAAGAATACGAAATACGTAATTTTAAATAGTGAAATCTGAGGACGGGATTTCACAACCTACACACAATATAACAAAAATTTTCAATTAAAATTATCATTCCAACATATATTAGATATTATAAAAAAACACTAAACATATTATTAAAATTGAACAAAAAATTTTGGTTTGGAATGGAATCAATAATTCAATTAATCAATAATCATGAATTCAATTCATCAATAAACAATAATTCTATAATCACTAATTATATGATTCATATCAATAATCGATACCCATATTACGCTATAATTCTATGTCACTTGGAAAATTTCATATTAAATTATAAATTTATAATTTAAATTTAAAAAAAAATAAAGGATTGTCTCAAAACTCAAAAGGGTTGGTGATGGTCATTAAAAAGGACTTGTGGGATGTGCCTTAGTGGCTTTGGAAGCTATAGTGTAGCAGCTTGTAGTTGCAGCCAATGGGAATCTTGTAATGAAATTTTGAAATTTTAGGAGTTGAATGATGCACTTGTATCCAATGGGAGAAAGAACAGAAAAAAGGTAGAAGGCAGGGCAACGGGGTGGAGATGGGGGAAAGTTTCAAATGTGTAAAGGTTAATTGGGGGACGAGTGTCCCCCTTCTGTTAATTATTTTTAATTTTTTAATTTTTATGCCTCAAAACATGGGCCGTTCCACTCTAGCGTCTATTCTAGACTCTGGACAGAATAATTTTTTTTTAATACCTAAATATTTGGAAACTTTTTTTTGGCGTGCTTTTCAATTTTGGCCCCTGGACAGGCGTTTTGTTGGCACTGGGCCTGGGCCAACCTTGGCGGGAGGGGTGGCTATGGTGATGGTGATGAAGATAGTGGTGACGATGGTGGTGATAGGAGTGGTGGTGACAATGATGGTTGATGTGTCGGTTTTGATGATGAAAAGTAGTTGAACACTAATTATCTTTATACGCATCTTTGTTTTTTTATTTTTATTTTTCTTTTGGATTCTATTCTTGGAAAACACAATTCATTTTGTGACTTTGTTATTTAAAAACAACATAATAAACACATTTTACACTCCTGTAAACAAAAATTCTTCTATAAAGTATTATCAAACAACCTCTTAACTCTTCTAATAACAATCCCACATAAACATATCAGACATAACCACATTGATGAAAACATATGTGCAATTTTCATGCATTTTATAGTTTTGACTTGGGTGCAACTTGGAAAGGAATATCAGATTTCAATTCAAGAAATTCCAAAATATTCTATCCAATTCAATATGAAACTGAAATTTCAATTTTCGAAAAGAATTGGATAGTGAATGCATTTGAAATTTTGAAGTCGACCCGAAAAATTTTGAAATTTGCGTAACTCTATTACATACATTTGATTATGTACTTATTAATTTTAGATATGTTTCATTTGTTATTTGTTATACAATATACTCAAATATGATTTTATTTTCTTAATTACAACTCCCTTAGTATAGATGAAACCATACAACTCCCATAATTTTTAGTCCAATTCCAAAAGTTATAAATTTGGCACAAAATTATGAAATCCCAAATTTTAATTACGAAATGAATTAATCATTTTCCAGAACTTTTTAAATTGAAATTAAAAATATCTATTTCCAAGATCCATAAAAAAATCTGGCTTAGTTCCTACTTTTAAAAGGTAATGCTATCTACAGACTAATTTTTATTTCTTACACACCTATCTCAATTCTCACTGTCACATCAAATGAATCAAAGAAGATAAATAGATAAAAATTAACAAAGTGTATTCCTCTAAAAATTTCAAATAAAAACAAAATAATATTAGGAAAAAGGGGAAGAGTGTTCGATACCAAATAAAATGGGTTAAAAATTGTCTGACAAATCTAGTATCAATAACTTGGAGAACAAGCTCATTCGTGATGCTCTCGCACCTAAAAATTTATATGTAATTTCTTCTCAACTCCTAAAACCCCCCACAACTCTTCGTCTTCTCAAATTCATCGAACTAGAACCCTTTTCTTTACCGATCACTCCCAAAAACTCACTCTCTCGCTCTAATGGACATCGATTTCAAAGAATACCAATTGCGCTGCCAACTCCGCGGCCACGAAGACGACGTAAGATCTCTCACCCACCAAACCCTTTTCATTTTTTCACACAATTTACTGAATCTACAATCAATTTCGATAATTTTGTACTGTTTATTACCCGGAAGGATTTGAACTAAAATTTGGGTTTTTCTGTACTTGAAATTTGGTGATTGATGATGAACAATGAGTTTGGATTTAGGTTCGTGGGATTTCTGTGTGTGGCAATGCGGGTATAGCCACCTCGTCGCGTGATCGAACTGTTAGGTTCTGGTCCTTGGACCCTTCTGATGAACGGAGGTACTCGGAGTCGAAGATTCTGCTCGGCCACACCAGTTTTGTGGGCCCAGTGGTGTGGATTTCACCCAATGAGCAATACCCTAATGGTGGAATTGTGTCCGGCGGGATGGATACAATGGTGCTGGTGTGGGATTTGAGGACTGGGGAGAAGGTGCAAAATCTTAAGGGCCATCAGTTGCAGGTCACAGGCATCGCTTTGGATAATGGGGACATTGTCTCATCTTCTGTTGACTCGTGAGTTTTTGGTTTTTACCCTATTCCAAGTTTGCTGGATACGTTGGATGAACTTTTGCATGTTGTACCATTAACTTTCGTTGTTTTTTGTTGACGCATGATGTGGTCAAAGATTTGATCTTTGCGCTATATTCATTTCGCCAATGAGCAAATTATTGTGAAATAAGTTGGTTTGGAGATACCACGCTGAAACTGTGATGTTAAATTTCTTCTGCCGTCTTTTTCTGCAGTACTTTAAGGCGATGGAGGAATGGGCAGTTGGTAGAGTCTTGGGAGGCTCATAAGGCAGCCATCCAAGCAGTTATAAAGCTTCCTTCGGGCGAGCTTGTCACAGGTATGGTTATTAACTTGTTGCAAGTGATGTCTCTATCTTGTAGTCCTCCACCTCCACACACCCAAACACCGCGCCACACCGCCACCCCCCCCCTTTAAAAAAACCCCAAACAAAACAACAATAAAAATAAAGTGAGCAGAAACTAGAAACATAGTAGTGAACTGTCAATTGTTTGGCCCAGCTGAGCCAGTCAGAAGACTCTGCAACAGTGGTTGGATAGGTGACATTGTGGTTGAGGGGGGTTTGCTAAGCCAGCTGGGCTTAGGTGACTGCAACATGTGATGCATGTTGGATGAGTAGCTTTTGGGGCTTGTAAGTGGCACATTTCATGTTTAGGCGTTGTGTGTAGTTGATATATATATATATATATATATATATATGCTATGTGATACATGTAGGTAGGATCAAAATTTCATTGGATGAGAGTTCCTGGCCTCTTAGCTGTGATAACTTTGAAAGTTGGCTGCAGTCAATTATGTGCCCTACTAGCATTTTAATTCATTCAAGACTTTGAGTTGGTCATAATGAATGGGAACCATGTTACTTTTGGGATTCTAGACAGCTAGTGGACACTACAATGTCATTTCTATTACGCAAACAATATAAGAGACAACATGCCATGGAAGTTTCCAGTCCCTATTATTTGATTTTTATGCCCTGTTTACATTTCTACTTTGGTCCCTAAATTTATGGGAAATCCACACATGATTATTTTCATCACAGTCTGTATTCAAATGCATTTATCTTTTTCTTGGAATGGTGTTTATTCTGTTTTCTCTATCTAGGTTCAAGTGATACTACTTTAAAACTTTGGAGGGGAAGTACATGCACTCACACTTTTGTTGGGCATTCAGGTAATACGTTTTCCTATGTTAATTTTATTAGGTCATTTGGATTTTGTAGGCCCTGAAGAAATGTGATAGTGTTTGGGAGTATTAGACGTTGTGGCTTACTGAAGAACGAAGAGACTGTTTTACTATGCTTTGTGATTTCCATGAATGGGATACTAAACTAGAGCTAGAAAGATAACATTTGGATATAAGTTGCCATGAAGATGATTTGATTTGAAGATAACTCGCACTCCTGGGTCCTCACTTTCACAGAATGTCTTTTGGCTTTAAGTTTTTTTCTTTTGTAACATAAATAAAATGCATAGGAATGCCCTATTTAGAAAAAGGACTTGCACAGAATGTTTGCAGTTACTTATGGTATGTATGTACTAACACATTTTGCAGACACTGTAAGAGGCTTGGCAGTGATGTCCGAATTGGGAATTCTTTCTGCTTCACATGATGGGTGAGCTTGATTTTGCATTTGTTTGTGCTTATATTGAATCTAGTTGGTTCCTTTAAAATGAACATAATTCTGAAGCCATGTCTTAGTGTCGGTAGGGAATGAGTAGAGAATAACTTAATGTGCATTCAAAATGAAAATAAAACATCCAAACGCTGCTTAATGTGCATACAGAAATCATGTTTAAAAATCAATTGTCAGACACTATAACTAGGAGCTTGTTAACTACTCTAGCACAGAGAAAATGAATGATTGGATTCTAATTCTGTCTTGATGTACGACATATAAAAAAAAAATGCTTATTCTACAATTAATGCTAATTACTGCTTAGAGTGTAACGTGGTCCTGTAGTATTATGAAGATATATTCACAAGGGGTAGTGCTATTCGCACACCCAATTTTACCTCCTACACAACCTTTTAATTTTTAACTATGGATCTTCTTCGATTCATTTGATTTGACGGTTGGAAATTAAGATAGGTGTGTGAGAAGTAAAATGGATGTGGGGATAGCACTACCCATTCACGTACTGAAAGACACATACATGAGCACTCATAGAGTATGTAGTCACAATGTCTCTTGCTTTTGAAAATTTTGACAATTATTAAAATATTGGGAACATGTTGAATATTTTGACTTATATTGCTTAAATGCGCCCATTATAAGACAATTTTCTACCACATTATTATTTTACTAACCGTGAGTCTGAGCAAGTCTCCCTTTTTGGCTAATATTGAATTTAAATTTATGTTGTCAAATTTCCAAGTGTTACTAGAAAATGTCCTGTTTGTAAACTTATTAAATAATAAATGCTCCATTGTTTCTACTCGGATATGCTAGTTGGTGTCTTAATTTCCTTGTTTCTCTCGTTCAATCCATCACCCACCCAAAAAGAAAAAGACAAACAAACAAAAACGAAGGTGTCTGTTTGGATTGAAGGTCTTTATAACTATACCTTTTGTTTTTGGCATGCTGCAGTTCCATCAGGTTATGGGCTCTAACTGGTGAAGTTTTAATGGAGATGGTTGGTCATACTTCAATTGTCTATTCTGTTGATTCACATGTGTCTGGACTAATAGTCAGTAGCAGCGAAGATTGTTTTGCAAAGATATGGAAGGGTAACTGCTGCTGATTTTTATGCTACTTTTTTTATTTTTCACTTATAATTTTTATTTGTTCTATCATGCAAATTCTGGTGTGCTTTTCGCCTGCTCTTGTACGGTGTATGAAATTGAAGTCACTCACAGGCAGGCTGTTGATCAGTTGTGTTAGTTAATTCCCAGCTTGCTATTCATACATGAGGAATACATAGTTAATCCAATTCTCTTGCTATTCATACATGAGGAATACATAGTTAATCCAATTCTTACTTTGAAGAAATTGCAGCAATTTTTTGTGGTTTTTTTTGACCCATTTATACTCTTTTGTGGATGGAAGGACTTTATTGCAAAAAAACATATGGGTCTAGTGGCTTTTCTTTGTTTTTCTTGTGTTTGGTTCCTGATGGACTCCTTGTCCATCTTGCTTTGTAATTTTCCTGTTTTCCCAGGCGTTCTCGTTACTTGGAAAACAATTGCATCAAAATTACGAATGTGATTAATTTTTTAACCTAATAATTCTATCAAAAAATTCTTGCTTGGTGCTTGGTTGTGGGGAATAAAAAAGAAAGATTCAAACACCTTACTCCAAGGATTCTTGGACATTGGACTTTTTTTTCTTTTCTTTATGTTTGCCGGTGAAATTTGCTTTGTAGAAAGCATCAGAATGTTAATTAGCAATTTCAAAATCTGAGGGCATAAGCATCAGTTTTATAGTCTGAAGTTCAGGTAGAAGTGGTCGATTATGGCCTGAACTGTAATTTAAGTGGAAGTACTGTCTTTTACAGATGGAGTTTGCATGCAGAGCATAGAGCATCCTGGCTGTGTTTGGGATGCAAAATTCTTGGAAAATGGGGATATTGTGACAGCATGTTCTGATGGAGTTGTACGCATCTGGACCATAAATCAGGATAAAATTGCAGACGCCCTAGAAGTGGAGTCATATTTCTCCCAACTTTCTCAGCACAAAATTAGCAGGTGTGGCCATCTTCTGGTTTCCTGTATGTCATGTAGCAGCTATGAACCTGCTATGCCTAATAATATGGACTTGACCCATCTGTCTGTCTGCACAATGCTCCAGAATTAGATTGACTATAATCTCTTATAATAATATAAATCCTTTTGTAATGTTTACTTGATAGGCATATGTTGTATTCTAGTGATCTCTTACCCTCCCTCTAGTATTTAGTTCTTGTTTTCCCCTTTCCTTTACGGAAGTCTATTGCAGGGTATCTTTGAGAATATAAAATCGTACATTGGGTATTCGAAGCCTTCATGCCACAATATAAAACATCTAGATCCTGACCACCAAGCCTATTGGTTTGCATTAGATGCTCTAAATTTTGTCAGTATCTATTTCTGTGTGATTTAAGACATCATTTCTTGGTTACTATTTGTGTCATCTTCTTCACCTTTTTTACTTGTATTTATGCAATAACTTGTTTCTCTTAGGAAGAGGGTCGGAGGATTGAAACTGGAAGAATTACCTGGACTAGAAGCCTTACAGATTCCAGGTGTGATTTCAATTTTACTCCTCTATTGGATTTTAGGGTTCTCCTTGTCATTTTGGTACTACAAGCATGTATATTGTTTAATTTTTCAGGTCTCTAGTTTCAATTTTTGAACAATTATTCAATTTGAGAAAGACAATTTTTACTTATATCATGTTATACATTTTTATGTGATTTGTGCAGCATCTGCTAGTGAGATCTTCCACTAAGTTGCTAAGATTGTGCGATTGTTGTATTCTTTTGACAAGTATAAATCTCACATCAAATAATGTTGTCTGGTATTGTCATCAGGAACCAGTAATGGCCAGACAAAAGTTATCAGAGAGGGGGACAATGGTGTGGCATATGCATGGAATATGAGAGAACAGAAGTGGGATAAGGTAATTCACTTTGTCAAATTAATATCCATAGATCATCTTCAATGGAAATGTCAAATTTAGGATATCAAATAAAATGTAATAGCTTACGTGGCAATTTGACAACAACAACAAAGCCTTGTCCCACTAAGTGGGGTCAGCGCAATTTCTATATGTATGAATCCTAGAACGCCATTGTGCTCGTTTTTGCACTAAGTCTTCAGTTAGCTCCAAGTACTCCATGTCTTTTTTTTAAAGTCTCTTTCCAAGTCTTCCTAGGTCTTTCCCTACCCCTTTTCCCATTTGCTTTTGTTTCATTATTGCATTTTCTAATTGGAGCATCTGAAGTTCTGCGGTTCACATGTCCAAACTGCCTTAACCGATTTTCTCTCATCTTATCTTTAATTGCGGCCATACCTACTTTACCTCATATATTCTCGTTCTTAATTTTGTACTTTCTTGTTTGCCCACACATCCAATGAGGCATTCTCATCTCTATTACATTCATTTTTTTTGTTGATGCTTGAACGCCCAAGATTCTATGCCATAAAGCATTGCTTCCCTTATTGCCATCCTATAAAATTTTCCCTTGAGCTTTAGTGGCGTATGACGGTTGGACAACACACCCAATGCACTCTTCCACTTCAGCCATCAAACTTGTATTCTATGGTTGAGATCTCCATCCAATTCTTCATTCTTTTGCAAGATAGATCCAAGAAAACGAAATCGTTCACTCTTTGGTACTTCCTATCTCCAACCCTCACCCTTATCTCATTTGGACCTCATTCCCACTGAACTTGCACTCCATATACTCAGTCTTTGACCTATAGATTCCAACACTTCCAGCCAAAGGTTAAGCTTCACATTTACTCCCTCCTGCATTTCATCTATCAACACTTTATCATCTGCAAAAATCATACACCAGGGGAAACATGGATCATTATTCAAGATGAAACCAATGGCAAAGAAGCAGCATGGGTGTTTTATGGTTTAATAAAAATAAAAAGACGCTGCTGTTAAAATTGACAGCAAGAGGAAATATGTCAATCCACGTAGATTAAAACAGTTGGGTTGGATTGCTTGTACAGGTGGTTTGGCTAGTTATTAGGCCTGCCTTGTGGACTCCCTCCTTTTCAAATCCTTGCAATCATGTTTTCATTGCAGGTGCACCATCGTCTTACTTAACGGCAGCTCTTTTAAAAGAAAATAAGTGTGTTTTGAAAGAATTTATATGAACAACATTCCTGTGGGAAAAAAAAATTCTATGCTTTGGACTGCAGACACGTAGAGTTTTGAAATGGTTCAAGTGTTTGTGCTTTGCAGATGTTGGATTTTAGGACATACGACTGATAGTAGTTATATTAGTGTATCAATCACGTTTAGGTTCCATACCTTTTGCTTTGGGGGCTAATTTGAGGGTCAAGATGTATGGTTTCAGTGTAAAATGATTTGGGACTTGCACATTTATTATCCAATTTGCCTATGCCATTCATCAGGCTAGGCCTCTGATTTATGGGTGTATTTGTACTTTCGCCACTTATTCAACATATGATTGATGATGCAATGATCTTGAACTTTAATGCTTTCATATCATCATTTAAGTTAGGATTAGTTCTAGGGATTTACATTTTTTGAGCTGTTGAATTAGGAAATGCCTGCATAATTGTTTGCAGTCTAAACAATAAAAAAAATGATACGAGTAGTTTTGTACTTTCGCCCCTTATTCAACATATGATTGATGCGGTGATCTTGAACTTTAATGCTTTCATACCATCATTTATGTTTAGGATTAGTTCTAGGGATTTACATTTTTTGAGCTGTTGAATTAGGCAATGCCTGCATAATTGCTTGCAGTCAAAACAATAAAAAATGATACGAGTAGTTTTGAACCCCTGTTGGTCTCATTGTGGTCCGTAACAGAGACAGACCTTTGTGTTTCAGAGATTTATAGGTTGAGGGATAATCTTTTTTATGGATTAATTTTTGTCTAGTCCTTTAATACAATTTACCTTTTAAAGTATTAATCCTCGTACTGGGTTCACAGTACATCAAGGTCATACAAATGTGCTTCCTAAATAAAGAACTGAAACAAGAGCTAGCTAAATGTTTCATGGTGCTGATTTTTGTGTATAATTCTTGAAAAGTTGGGAACCTTCATCTGTTACTTCTTTCAATTCAGATTGGCGAGGTTGTCGATGGGCCAGATGACGGCATGAAGCGTCCTGTTCTTGATGGAAACGAATATGATTATGGTCTGGATCTTACATCTGTGTCAATGTTTGATCTGATTTTTCTTCTGTACGTAGACATTTTAAAATTTATGAACACTTTCTTGTTCTTCAGTATTTGATGTCGACATTGGAGATGGAGAGCCTATTCGTAAGCTGCCTTACAATCGATCAGGTATCAGTCCTCTTCTAGCCCTTAGTTGTAGTTGGTGTGACTTGAAGACATTATTGCAAGAATGTGACACTGAGTTGCTAATGTTTCAGATAATCCATATGATACTGCTGACAAGTGGCTTCTGAGGGAGAACCTTCCTCTTTCCTACCGAGAACAAGTTGTTGCCTTCATCCTCCAAAATACCGGACAAAATAATTTCACCCTTGATCCATCATTTCGTGATCCCTACACTGGGTGTAAGTATTCTGTTGTGGCCATCTAACCTTTATAGGTTGGTGATTCATGTGATATAGTCTCCTTGTTTGCTTTCCAGTTTTCACTTGATTATAACTACTTGTTTATCTTTTCATTATTTCAGCAAGTGCTTATGTACCTGGACAATCTTCAAACAAGTCTGGTGTGTATCTTTTTGCCTTTTTTATTTTCTTTAATTGAATAAGTATGCCATATTTTTTTATCTTTACTATAAATTTGCCAATAACAGTTATTTAATTTTTTTTGTTTTTCTTATTGTAACAGCTTCTGCAAAACCTACTTTCAAACATATTCCTAAGGTAGGATCTTTCAGCTCGTGCTAAACTTTTGGGATGTATCTATTAGATTGCAATGCACTGTGAGTTAATGCAAAAAGTATTGGCTGATCACATTGAAGTTATATGTTTTATCCATGTACTATATACTTAGCTCAATAGTGAAGGTTCTTAGCTTCAGTACTTCTAAAATAGTGTTTTAGATAAAGACCAGGGTCGATATGAGACCTATTGGCACATCCATGTGGTTGAAGCTAAGGCCCAGTTGAGTGAGTATTTTGAACTTATCGATGATTTATTATATTGAGTGTTCTGTGTGTGAACTAATGCGCACAATTTGATTATTTTGTACGATCTGGAAACCCCACTTAATAACTGGGTTTTAAAAGCTGAGCATGTATTAGATGTTGATAATTTGTCTGACAATGTAGTTATAGCTTAGGCCAAATGTTTTTTATTGTTTGTTATTTTCCTTCAAATAAGGGAAAAGTAAAAAAACTGAGGTTGTGCACTATCATTAGATTGCTTATGGGCTTAATGTTTCCATAGCTGTTCCCTAGTAGTTGGGGTAAAAACTTACTGCAACTAAGTCTAGTCATCTTTGGGAATGCTTTATTCTTAGACGCAAATACCGGCAGTCACAGTTCTACAGTGAAATCATTATTTCAATCTCATTTTTCGCCTGGATGGGGCTTTTATTGTTTCAGAAAGGAATGCTCGTTTTTGACGTCGCCCAGTTTGATGGGATCCTAAAGAAGATTACAGAGTTCAACAGTAATTTACTCTCTGACCAGGTTTGTTGTTTTGCATGCCTGAAAGTTTCATTTGTTTTTCAAATTATTTTCATTTATTAGAAATTGGCATATTGTTGTAGATAGTAGCATTATAACTTGCTATCAATCAACTGAAAATAAATCCCGCCAGTCCTTTTGATAAGTTTTTGCCAACCTTTACCATTATGATTCTTTGTCATTGTTGAAACGTCCTCATATTTAACAGATAATTGTAAGCTACCCATTGCTTCATTTCTAGTTGTATGGTGATGCATATAGGGAGTTATCTGATATTTACCGAAACACAAATCACAAAGTTTGGAGATGATGCATTGTTAAATACACAGGCTTGCTACACTCGTTAAATTTGAATTTTTCTTTGGGTTTGACCACTCAATTATATGTGCTCATTCTAATTAGCATTTTGCACCTTGTTTTGTTTGTTTAATTCCACTGTGTCCTGGTCATGTGTTTGTGATAACTAATTTCCAGACCTGCTCTATGGGTCTGGTTATTTCTTCAGTGATAGAAAGGAATGAATTTTTTGTACCTGGGTGATACTGATATAACAATTATATTTTTCATAGAAACTATTGAGGTTCCTACTTCTATGATCACTGTTTTCTGACATTTATTTGCATTGTTATTGTACATGTAGCAGAAATTGTATTCCATCAAAACTTGTTTAAGTATTTTTATTAGTTTATATGAAGTATTTGAAAATAACTGCAAATTAATATTAATTCGAAAATATGAAAATAACTCCAACTTAGAGTTATTTTCATTATTTTTCAACAAACTAATAGAAATATTAATTTGGAGTTATTTTGATTTTTTTTTTCCTATTCCTTTCATTGTACATGATAGGGTTTTGAATAACTCCAAAATAATATTTTTATTACTTTATTTATATCTTTATATTTATTTATATTTTTAAATTCCAAGCTTGTTAACCAAACCTGAGGAGCAGCTAGGTACAAGTTGTTTTCTTTTACTGTTTTAGAATTGTGTCTCGTTTTTTTTCTATTAACCATAGGATGTTTTCCTGAATAATGGATCCTTTGGTAATTTCTTGAAGGACAAGAAGAACTCGTCTTTAAATGAGGTTGAGATTTCCAGGTTGGGTGCTATAGTTAAAATATTGAAGGACACATCACATTATCATTCTAGTAAATTTGCCGAAGTTGACATTGCTTTGTTGCTGAGATTGCTAAAATCATGGCCGGTTGCAATGTTATTTCCAGGTTAGTGTGCGAACTTTTGAGGAATTCTGTGTATAGCTCTGTTCATCTTTTAGAGGTCTTGGAGCACATTTATTCCATCTGTTCGGGTTACAAGTTGACACTAAAAAAAATCAATGTTTAAGAATGAACTGAAGTTAATAACTGGATGGTTCATGCTATCTAATGACTATGCAATCTCTAATGGATTCAACTATTTGAATTGGCTTGTGGCTGATTTATCGTGGCTGATTGTGTCTTAGGCATTATAACTGAACCTATTGTGTCTTAGGCATTATACTGAACCTTGCCAGCTTGCAGGTTACCTCATTTTTTTTTAGATGTAGCTGAAGTGGATTCTTAGCTTTATGATTGATGGCTACAGGTTAAAAAAAAATGAAAAATGGTAGAGGAAGGGACATGAATTATCTGAGTATAAGTGTGTATAGTTGATTTTTCATTTTGAAAAGGTAAAATTCCTGCGTTGGGATTGGGGCCATTTATGCATAACACGACTGCTCATAACATCTCATTTTTCATAGGTATGGCAAAAAGAGTCATTATATTTTCTTAGTACAAAATCAATAAGCTTTGTTTTAATGTGAATTGTTGCATGCTCGTCCATTGTTACATCGGAAGTCTATGGGTGTGTAGTTTTATTGTGTGGACACCTTGTATTTCATAAATAATTTTGCCAACTCAAGTATATTTGTTATTTTATATCTGCAGTTATTGATATTTTGAGGATGATTGTTCTGCACCCTGATGGGGCAACTCGGCTTCTCCAGCTACTTGAAGCTGAAAATGGTACTCATGCTACAAATATCCAATGCTGTACTTTTATCTTGTGCAGTCGTTTCTTCTTATCTTAAATAGATAAGTACTTCATTTTTTATCATGAACTATAAAAATACATAACAATAAAGACCTGTCGAAAGACCAAAAAATTAAAGACTGGTTGATGAGGGCTGATATTCTAGGAACATGCTCAAGTTGATATCTTGAAATGCATGCTACATATGGTATAAGAAAAACATTAACAATGTTGCAAATGTCATGCTTCTCATTGTTGCTGTCCTTTTCAACTTTTATCTCTATTTCTTACCTTTTGTTGTCTAACCAGATTTACTAATGGAGTTGATCAGAAAAGTTGCAACAAATCCGCCCCTTCCTGCTAATCTCTTAACAAGTGTTCGTGCAGTGACCAATCTTTTCAAGAATTCATGCTACTACAATTGGTTACAAAAGCATCGGACTGAGGTTAGCCTTCCTTCAGGATTGTTCGTGTGACCATTATGGTTTTTGAGAGGCTAAAGGGTTCTTTCCCAGTCACATTTGCAGATCCGTTTCCACCTTGCATGATTACTTGTACAAATGTAGTTCTTTGTTAATGATTCGGCGGTTATATAACATGTAAAGTTGTAAATTAAATGTTTATTGCATTCTTTCTATTTTATTTTTATGATGAATATTTTCTGTTAAGGATATCTATCCTTTGATTGTTGCAGGAATCATTAGATTGAGTGTGATTCAATCACTTGCTTGAATGAATCATTAATATAGATGCATTGGCTGGTTGTGTGAATATGTATTGAACAACTAAAAAGATGTGTTTTTGTACTTGAATAATGACTCTTATGGCAAGTGGTACACTGCCTTTCATGGTTAGTGCATCTTGGATTCTGGATATCATGATTTAGTAATTTGATTTGTTGAATCGCCTTGCAGATTCTAGATGTGTATTCAAGTTGTTATTCATCTCCAAATAAGAATTTGCAGTTATCATATGCAACCTTGATTCTCAAGTAAGTTTACTGTTGCCTGCATATGTAATCTGTTTCAAGTAAAACTGTGATCAAGTAAGTTTACTGTTGCCTGCATATGTAATCTGTTTCAAGTAAAACTGTGATCATAATGCATGGTTGACCTTGTTTTCCTTTTCCTTCCTTTTGGATTTATTTCTGCGGGGAAATTGTTTCTGTAGCATATTAGCATTCTAATTATAAACAGCATTTGAATAAATTTGAGGCTTTGTAGCTTTCACTTAATTTATAAATGTGCTTTAGGGCTTGGTTTTTATAAATATTGACGTGCTGAAATTTCATTTTTCATTTTATCAACAATGAAGAATTGGTGACACGGACATCATAGTGATATGTAATTTGGATTTTGTTGGTTTTGGTGTCAGTGAGAACTGGTGGGTTTGGTGTCACCATGTCAGTGAGAACCATTAAGATATTCATTCTCTTTGTGTACCGATGTCTTAATGATGTCACCAACATGTTACTTTTAGGATATTTTCTGCTTTTGTTGAACATGTTTTTCCACTTTAGTTTAATGGACTTTCGAACAGAAACACACACACCCACCTTGAATTAAACTTGGTAGTAGGAATACTAGCCTGCTAGTATGGGCACATAGTTATAAAGTAAAAAAAAAAAAGAAAAAAGATTGCAATTTAGAATTTGAGTTTTTGTTTTCGGTTAAAGATACCCATTAGAATGCTTATGTAAATGAAAGTAAGAAGTGTTTACGCTTTAGACTTGAAGTTTGAAGGTCCTATGTGTCAGTGGCGCACAGTATTTTTATCCAAGTATATCCTTATTCATATTTATGCTATATCAAACTTGTTTAATTGATAAGTTTTTAATTTCTCATAATAAGAAATGATGCATAGTTTATAGTTACTTGTTTAGCATTTCCTAAACTTTCATTTTGAATTTTTATATTTTAAAATAAATTTCGTTTTTCAATAATTTTAAATCAATATTAGCTATCAACATTCTACCAATATTTCCACCAATACCGACATTTTCATCTTTGTACACCTGTGTGTTCAAGTTTTTAACTTGTTATGCATGTAAAGAAGAAACTTAAAGGGAGGTTGAAAGTTATATTGTCTGCCTGTCATATATGATATATGCATAATAGGTTATGCATGGACAATGCAAAATCAATATATGTTGAATTATTAATAATACATGAAACAACTTGTCCTTCCACCCCCTATCTTTCTTTCTCCAAATTTGTGATAGTTCCACGTAATAGGATGAACAAAGACTGCAAAGCCAACCAAAACGGAAAATTTGATGTTTCTTACATAATGTGCTCCACACTTGGTATATAATACTCTTTTTTAATCGATTGAGTTTTTCCTTTGGGATTGATAGTTATGCTGTTTTGTTAACCGAAAAGAAGGATCAAGAAGGTCAATCCCAGGTTCTTTCTTCAGCACTTCAGGTATAATACATCATCTTATTACTTGCCTTTTCTTCTTCTGCAATTATTTGAACTTGGACGTAAGAGGCCCACTGCTTTTTTCGAGGTGGACTAGATTATCTTTCTATCCTATGGAGAATTTCTAAAATGTTGTGAATCATGAAAGTGTTTTTTTTTTTTTTTTTTTTTTTTTTTGGGCAGATTGCAGAAGAAGAAAATCTAGATGCTGATGCAAAATTTCGGGCTTTAGTTGCCATTGGATCACTGGTATGTGTTGAGAACTCATAACCATTTAATGCTAGTACTTGCTTTTCTTGAAAATAAGTTGGCATATATTGCTTTCTTTCTTATTTTTCGTTTTCCCCCAAGGGCGTTTTTTTGTGTGTTTTCGTGGTCTTTCATATATCTTGGTTCAATGGTGCCCTATCCTCTTTCAATATAATATCTTTTCTTTTCTAGAGTGTGTGCTATTTTGTAACTTTTATCATACATGTGGTACAATGGGCCAGTTCATGGCTTGGGTATGGTACTTACTTTTTATGTTCATTAGAATGCTGTTCACTTTTTTAGCAAGTTTCACAATTTTGAAATCTCAAGAAAACTCTTTTGAAAGTAAAAATTATTACAAAAAGTCAAGCAATTGTCCTATTGTACATGGAGAGTTGTATTAACAAAATGTAACATGAATGAATCAGAAAATACAAAAGGAGATGGCTAGGTAGATCACCTATGTCAAATTGACAAGCAAACCATCTTCTTCTCTGCTCTAATGTTAACAATCCTTTTGTTCCCGTACAACGATGTAGTTTAAATACAGTGTAGAGGAGTAATACTGTAATAGCCGCCTTGTTTGCTGATCCCCACTAAAACATCAGGAAGGTGTAACAGTTCTTGGAAGAAACCTGCTCCACACCATAAAACAGAATGTAAAAAAGAGGGCCATCATCTTCCATGCTACAACTTCGAATGTATTTTAAAACTTTTACGACTTGATGTTTTGTCCTTAAGCAATTTCCAAAATTCAGGTAGATAGTTAAATACACAGTAAAGGAAGAATACATTTACATATTGTTATTGGGTGTTATTGGGTAGGGCAACAAAACTTATGTTAGGCAAGGATAATATATTCTTCACCTAATAAATTTACAAATTTTTTTTCTAATAGTCTTAAAATGTTTTCCATGATCAGCCATCTCTTAGTTTTCATGTTTCCTTGGTTGTTTTTTGTTCTGCTTGTTTCCTGGATGTTTTTCTTCTTGTTTGGGTCTTTGTTTCGCATGCTTTCATAGTTTTTGAGTGTTTTACTTGGGTGGACCGCTGTTTCACTTTTCTTGTACATGTGAGTCTCATATAGCTGTCTTGACTACTTTCTTGAATCATTTTACTCTGTCAGAAATCGCCCCTTAGTGGTTATATTTGGTCTGATCAGTGATGCTCATTATGTTGTTTTACGACTTGTCTAAAACAGATGCTTGAGGGCTTTGTGAAAAAGATAGCTATTGACTTCGATGTTGAAAACATTGCTAAACTAGCAAAGGCTTCCAAAGAAACCAAGATTGCTGAAGTTGGAGCGGACATTGAACTTTTAACAAAATAGAGCTCGCTCTCTGAATCCTTGGTAAATTACTATCCTCAGCTGTGAAATTGTTTGCGACATTTCAACTACGCTGGAACGTGTGGCTATGTTGATCTTGCAGTTTGCTAATTCTTCCCTCTCTTGCTATCTTTTGATTACTCTTGATAGGATTTGGAACCGGTGATTTACCTGTCGAAGTGATTCTCAATATTGGACTGCAGTAGCCGTGCAATTTTGTGGAGACATGCAATTGCACATGATTCCAAATATATGCATCATTTTGACGTGTGAAAAAGGATACAATGATTCTGGTTCGAAAATAGTATCCAACGATTGAGGAACACCCTGGTTGGGTGTTACGACGACAAGCTGTCAAACTTTTCTCGTACTTATAACTGACTTTAATCGCAGTGTATGAATGAGAAATGTGTCACTACGGTGTCAATTGTACCATTCAAGATTGTCGATGGAAATGCACTCGAAGCGAGTGAACCATTTATACAGTGCCTAATTTTTCATTACAGACAATGGTTGGCAATTCTTATATCTCTAATTCGTCTTCTGAAGCGTGTGTTCTGAGTTTCCAATTTGTGATCCGTTCTTATACAATTACGGTCACGGTAACGAGTGATATGCAGGCTGTCCTCCGGGGATTGTTTTCCCCTCGATGTTCTGCATTAACCGTACAAATTATGATTTTCTGAATAGCAAGCCGTTGGGCTACTTATTCCAACAAATTTCTCGAAGAAATCCACGGTCGATATGCGTAGACGGTTTCTGTACCCTTATGTCTCTCTCTACTCGCATACGGAAGAAAAATTAAATTGGTAAAACTTATGTTTCTACTAAAATCTTTGAACAAAATGACTTGCATACCATTCATCGATTTGATTATTTCCATTTTGTATAAAACTTTTGGTCACTCCACAATAGCATCCTATTCAACGGAATCTCGACATTCCTTTCTTTCAAATGCAAATGCCTGGGGACAATTCTTTTCTCCAAACTGAATCCAAAATACTGCGGAAACTTCTTCAACTCCTCCACACTCCTTCCCATATCCTTCACCAAATATTCACACTTGGGCCGCAAGTTATCCTCCACACTGTACCCGAAAATCGCAGGCAGCCTCGCGCACACATTGGCCGCCTCCTCGTGCGAAAACCCTAAACTCCTCAAGAACCTCATCTTCTTCTTGAGCTTTTCCACCCTCGTGTTCAGCAAATGTGCATTCAGATTCGACGGTGACTTGGGCTTGTCAATCCCCAACTGTTCAAGATAATACAGTGTGGGGCGGAGGCAGAACTCGACATCCGCAAATAGGAGGTCGGGGCAGCGAAGGATGAGGCCGCAGGAAAACGCAGGGTCAGCGGAGAGATCAGAAGCGAGGAAATCAAAGACGGGGGCAATGTCAGTTGGGTCGAGGGAGGGGGAGAAGAGCTTAGGGGAGAGGAAGGCCAGTCTTGGGAAGTCGGGGTCCGTAAAGCCCTTCGACTTGAGGAAACCTACGGTGGCGAGGATTTGGTCGGTGGCGTCGGGGAGGGGGAGCTTTTTGGGGCTGGTTTCGGGGGAGATGATGCGCAGGGTTTTGAGGTACCGGAGGTTTTCGCGGTAGGATGTACGGAACTTGATGAAGTGGGAGGGAGGATGGGGATTAGGGTTTAAGGTGGCGATAGAGTAGGAGGAGGAGGAGGGAGAGGGAGGTGGGATGATGGAAAGAGTGTGAAGCAGTGGCATCGCAAGCAACTGGGAAAAGAGGGAGTTTTGGTGAGTGTGTGGGCGTCGTTATTTTAGGCGGTAGGCATTGAGAGGATAAGGGGATGGATGGATATGTTTTGAAAGTTCTTAATACAACCACATATTTAGGGCGAGAGATTTGAATTAAGCCTAAGTGAATTGAAAATTGAGCTATATATTTTTTCTTTTTGAAGATAGTTGTTAATTTACGTAGTTAAAAGTGCGTGTGTGTGTATATATATATTTTAACGTTGAAAACCATAACAAAAGATGCAATTTAAACTGATATTTAATAGTAGATGTGGACTTCGTTAGTTGGTTATTTAGGGCATTATGTCGACTTTTTACTCTCAAGTTTAAATTTTTTATGTGTGAAATGGCCCTACTAATTTTCTTAACGTTTATTGCAAAGTTATTATCTTGCCTAGCTAGTTCCTTTTCATTCCTTTTTATTAGCTTCTTACTTAATGCTTTGTAATTGTATTTATGGACGACTATATATGAAATCAATAAAGGATACGTATCATAAATTTTCTTGAACAAAAAGAAACAAGGGGACTAATTTGAAACCCTAAACCTATCGAGGTAGCGTCGTCTGTGATTTTTCTTCACTGAGTTATGATAAATAATAAAATCTAGCTATGAAGTTTCACATGGATGTGTCTTTGTGTTACATTCTTCTTCTCGTTATTTCTTTTTACTGAAATTATGTGTTGGTTGTTACCCGAATAGAAATTTCAATCGGTCGAGCTTTTAGGGCTCGAAATAACATTTTTCGAGCAAGAAAAACACAGGTAAATAAATAAAACTGTCGATCGAGTGCAAGTTTTCTCCTAACGAATCCTTAACCCTTTTTCTTAATGTTATTTTTCTTCAGAGCAAATACTTATGGTTGATAATCGATGTTTTATTTTGTAATTTTGAAGGCTATTGATGGTTATATGGAGATCATAGAGGTTGGTGATTCATCAATTCTGATAGAAGAACTCCTTCTGTACTTCGAATAGACGATCAGTTCATCAAGTTAGGAATGCCATTGCTTCAGCTCTTAATGCCAATTGTTTATCTAAGGTGCTGCAGTTCATGTCAACCGTGCTAGCTGGGACTGGAATTGTTGTTCTGCCAGCTATATGATGTTGGACACGGAATGAAACAAGTGTGATTGTGTGGCGAAAATGTGTACGACAATTGGACGAGTGTGATTTTATTGAAATAATGTGCGATCGTTGGGAAAAATTCAAAGCAAATTGTTCACTACGGTTACATGTTTTATGGTGTCTGATTTGAACAAGCCTTATTTCGAGCTTGGAACATTCTTGTTTTATGTAGCGGTATGTAGGTCTAGTGTCTCTTTTTTTTTCCTTTATTTCTATTGGGTAATGCTAGGAAGATTAAATTTTTAGACTAAATTTACAAATTAAATGATTTGTCGCTAGTGAAAATAAACACATCTATCAAAACTTAAGTAATAAACCAACCATCAACTTTCATATTCTTTAATTTTTAAAATTTAGTCCAAAAATTAATTCTCCTTAGTATTATCCATTTCTATTTGGATACCAAAGATAGACTCTACTGATGAACACTCTACTAGTAAGCACTGCACAAGAGAGTGTACCAGTAAATAATATCAGCTTTTGATGTCTAAATAATATTATTCTTATATTATAGTATTTCGTTCAATTCAGTTGTAACTCATGCCTACTTATGGAGAAGGTCCTGGGTGCGCCTTCAGAGTGGGTGTTGTATGAGAGAGGACTGGGACCAAAATTTGAGAAATGGTGGCCCTGACAAATATTGAGGTGGGGTATGGGGTGTTTTTGTGAGTGGGTTATATGAGACAGCTGGCCTGGTATCAGAACTAAAGAACGAATAAGGATTCTCGTCAAATTCTTTTTGTGAGAATTTTGAAGATTCTTAAATTTTGTCTGTTTATCATATATTGTGTGATTCTTAAATCTTATTTATTTATCATATATTATGCAATCAGTTTTCTTCAGGTACTATTTATATTTAATTTTAAATAAAAATATTTGAAATAATTTCTGATAACATGATGTGCGATAAACGAACACAATTTAAAGATTATCAGGATCCTTACAAAAAGAATCGGAGAAAATCTTCTCTCCTGAAGAACTTCTCCTAATTAAAGCTACGAAAAGTTGAAATAAGTACTTCCAAATATTTTTAGAAAAAAAGTATTTTCTGTGATCTTGTTTATCGTACAAAGCGGTTCTCTCAGACTTTTTCCGCCTTAAAAAAAAAAAAAAAAGTACTTAATGCGTGTACCGTTACCATTTGGCCAGAAAATCGTTGGCCACGTTGATAATAAGTTGCCCGATGCCTTCTCCTTCCGGTCGCTTTATATTTTTTTACCCTGGACAGCTACATAAAGATCTCAGTTTTAAGCATGTAAGTTGTAAAAAATGTCATCAAACTTCTCCACAGATTGCTCCACCTACTTGTGCAAATCCTGCCAAGGTGGGAGCATATGTCAAGAGCAAGACAATGACAATATTAGCAATTTACAAGAGAAAGATAGAGATTAAAATTTTGTTTTAATACAATTTTAATTCCTTAAGTTTTTTTGTTTTTTTTAGAAAAATGGTGGCATACCGCTTCTGGCAAGCCACGTTCCGAAAATGTGTATCAATGCTTAATGAACATGAAAGAGGATGGAGTTGGGGTTTGGAGATTTTGGAGGGAGGGAGTGACTTCTGATTGTTATGTGGAGTGAAGGAGGATTTGGCGTGAGTGATGATGGGAAGAATTTTTTTTTTCACAAGTTTTTTTTTTTTTTTTGGAAATAATAGTTGTTATTTATTGTCTTTTCATACAAGGGTATAATTGACACACCCCGACCGAGATCGGAGCATGCTGGCCGTCACACGAAGGTGACGTAGCCACGTGCACGTGCGGAAGCTAATGAAGTAATAATATAAAAGTACGAATAATTAAAAACTAGCATACAAAGTACTAAACAAGTGCTAGCGTAAGTGAAAGACAAATTCAAAGCCAGACAACAGCAGTCCAAAAGAAAAATATGCGACGATAGTTCACCCGAAGGTGACCCTACAAGGATAGGTGTCTGTCAGAAGTGCCGGAAACACCCTCTGGGAAACCACCGGAACTGCTACTCAGCTAGAATCTGGAGGGGCGCAAAACAAAAGTGTGAGTGGGCAAAAACAAAGCTTTCGAAAACCATTTATAAAATACTTTCTAATCCCTCGCCGTAAAACTTGTATACTTCCCAGAAAATATATACACATAATACATATGCCAAATATGCTCAAAGGTATATCAATCATGCTCGATAATATGCCATGACGAAATCTCATAACGATATGCAAGGGCCCAGGTATAAACATATCAATATCATGTAATCTGGCAGCCGGAGTCACCTAACGTGACCTGTACGGCTGCATCTAGAGCTCAAATCTCAATCTCAATATCTAAACCTGCCCACGAGTCGGAACCACCTAAAGTGGTATGTACGACAGGCCTGGGTGTAAACAAGTGCTACGATCACGTGAAGACTGGGCGAATAATCGCGGGTCACCTACGAGTCGGAACCACTTAAAGTGGTCTGTACGACAGGACTGTGCACCTACCTTGAATCCAAGGTGAGCATTGTTGGAAGTATGCCCACAAAGCCACTCATTTGATGTAATAGCTTTTTGGAATACTTATTGTGTTAAACTTTTATATGTTTAATAGAGGGCAAAAGCTTATTGTTAATCACTATTTATAGTATCTTGTGCTTAAGCAATAAAGGAATCCAAGGAATGTATTTGATCTAAGAGACAA